CTTCTTCTTGGTGGTCTCGAAGACGGCCTTGGTAGCGAACTGGGCCTTGGGCTGAGCGCCGCCTCCGGCCTTGCGCGCGGCGCGGTTGGTTTTCCCCTACATATCACCTGTATCAGCCTGTGTTCCTCCCCCGAAGTCTCTCTGCATCCTACCATGATTGGTGCCCGACGTCGAGCTGGGACCTGTAGCTTGAGCCGGCCAGTGGGGTAGTACGTATGCTGCGGATTTCAGGGAGCAGCGGATATGGTAATAATGGACGGCAAAGCCAGGTAGAGCCAGTATGGGGGGAGCAGTCGCTCGGGGGTGTGGACGTGTAAAGAAGGCTGCAATGCGGCGGTTGTAGAGACCGGCCAACGTCAGAGCCCTGGATGGAATCGGGCGCTTCGGAGGGTACTCGCCCCATCGTCCCAGCACAGCCACATCTATTCAAGTACGACGTACGCGCAAGCTGCCGCCGCGGCTGGAATTTCCTCGTCATCTCCATTCACCTCCATTTCATGTCGGACTGCACACACCAGACTGTCATGCATTGTAATCATGTCACTTCATCTCCCCTCATACTACTTCATCATTCACCGTCGCCGCTGCGAACCCATCCAGGCTCGGCCCAGTTTCCGCATCAAAGTGTCGCAGCAAACGCCTCACACAAGGACGACCCGGGTGTGCCGCGTACGCATAATTTCTCGTGACGTGTCACAAACTTAGGCATTAGGCACCAACGTTCTCATGGTCGTGACCGGATGCTCATTCAAACTAATCGCTAGGAGAAAACGCCAGCAACATGCAAACCGTCGTGAATGAGTGTTCGAACAACAGCACTGCTCAGTAGCAGAGACGACGCCGTGGAAATGCCCAAAACCCTAATAGAAATATCCCAGATCCCAAAAACGCCATCGCTCCAAGGTCGTCATTCAATCATCATGAGAAAACATCACCGCCAAAACGCCCAACGCTCGCCCAGTCCAGCCGCTTGGACTCTTCTAGTTGCGGACCGCCCCAGGAATATACCTTGGGGTCTACCAGGCAGCCCAGACCGCCTTCTTGACACCATTCCGACACGACAGCATAGATAAATTCAATCTTCGCGCGGAGGAGGTTGCCCTCTGTGAGCTCTTTGTAACTGTCTTCCTTGTCGGCTGAGCCGTAGAGAAGCTGTTGCAATGAACCGCGAAGATGTGCCCTGGCCTTTACGTGCTTCCACGGCACGTTTCCTGTCTCTTCGAGAAGAGACGTCGCATCCAGAGGAAGGCATAAAAAGTGCCCGTAGCTTGCATCTGACGACAAGACGAGTTTGGTGTGGTCGGGGAAGTTGAACTAAACATACTGTTAGACGGGCTTTGTGAGAGTTGGCAAAAGCACTTACTTGGAAGGAGCCGTCGTCGAAACCCCAGATCCCGACGTTACCCAGGCGTTGGTAGAAGCGAACAAAATTCACGCGGGGATCTTTTCTGAGCGGCTTTTCTTCGTCGCCAAAGGTTGCGCACATGTACTTTCCAAACTTGTGCCACACTGTCCGGATCTCCTCAATGCGTCGCGATTCGAGCACTTCAATCTCCGACAGTCCCCGGTCTTTCTTCACGGTCGTATAGTAGTTGAGCGCAACGCTTTTGGCAAGCTCCCGGTTGCCTCCAGCCTTCCGTAGGTGATTGTATCCGTCCGTGGCAAAAGCGATCGTAACGGGGTATTGATCCTCTGCAGAGAGGAGGGTCCCGATACTACCATCGTTGAGGACGTACCCCACTCCGTATCTGCGGCTGTAGTCTACCCATTTTGCGACAAACGGTAGTTGCGGTGGCTGGTCTCTTCTTGACTTTGTAGGCTTCTTGTCGAGGGCTCGTTCAAGATTATCGCGGAATGTCATCAAGCGCGCCAACACGGTCACTGGGTCAGTCGCAGGCATGTCATTGCTGACGGTCCGATAGCGGGGAGCACTTCGCGCTGAAGTTGGTTGCGGCGCAGGTTCCGACTTCGCGCTCTCTCGGGCGCTAGTTCGGGAGACTCTTAGAGGTGGGAGGTCAGGGAGTCCGTTCGATGTTGTCTTTGGCGCTTCCTTTGCGGTTTCCTTCGCTGTTCGTGCGCGCGTTGAAGTTCGTGCCTCACGAGGGACGCGTAGTGGCGCAGGTGCGGAAGCCGTGCTCGCAGTAACACGCCCAGTGTTCGAGATCTTGCGGGCTGCTCGTAACCGCGTCGGCTGTTTGTCAAGTATCCTGTGCGCGGGCTCTGGCTCTTCGGCTGGCTCTACGTTCTCCTTCAATGTCTGCATCGGCTGTGGTTCTCTCCTTGGGGCTCTGGATGCACGAGTCTTCGTCCGCTCGTTCCCGGTAGTTTCTGACAGGGCTTGGCTTTCAGATGACGATTCCTTCTCTTCCGAAATTTCGCTGAGCCCTCCCGGGGCTTGGTGAGGCCACTGCGTGCGGGCAGGGAAAGGTACGTAGACGACATCTTTAGAGAACGGGATGTTTGGTTGCTTGCCGGCTTCAATCTCCTTTTGACAATCTCTTGCTACTGTCTTGTTGGTTCTGCGACCGAAGGTTCCAAATGCCTTTCCTTGTTCGTATTCGCCGACCGATGAGGACTTGCAAAGTGCCCACCATTCCTCAGTGTATCCACGCCTAATCGTGGATGCTGTTGGTGGGCGGTTCTTCGGCCATTTCGGCACTCGCGAGGTACATTCGCTGCTCAGCTCCAATGGGATATAGCCCAGTTTGAAGAAAGGGTGCGCAACGATCTGGTCGGGGGTCGGTCTCTCGTCTTCGTGTACCAACAGTAGCGAGACGATGTCGCGGAGGTCGTCGGTGATCTCGTTGGCAAACTTGGCGAGGTCGGGCCAGGTGTATTCGCGAGCCTTCAACTTCCGGTAGATGTCTTCGCGCTTGGCTGCGTGAAATGGTGCCCTTCCGACTGCGAGTGTGTACATCATGATTCCGATAGCCCACAGGTCGACCTTCTCGTCATGACCCTTTCCTGTCTTCTCCAAGACCTCTGGTGCAAGGTAGTTTGGTGTACCACACATGGTTGTTCGACGGATCGCCCCATAGTCGCTCTGTGACACCAGTAGTGCAGCAAGACCGAAGTCGCCGACCTTGACATTCATATCGCGGTCGAGGAAGAGGTTGCCTGTCTTGAGATCGCGGTGTACGATGTTCCGTTGGTGGAGGTATTTGATTGCGCCGCACGTCTGAATCATGAACCGCCGGATTTCAGGCATGGTGAAGTATTTGCGCTTCTTGATCGCATCGGCAAGAGAACCGTTTTCGCATAGCTCCAGGACAACGTAGGTGCTTGATTCGAAAGAAAAGGCGCGGAAGAACTCGACGATGTTGGGATGAGATAGCTTCGAGTGGATCTGTAGTTCAGTGACAAACTGCGGCGCGTCAGCAATTAGCCATGCCTTCCTCCCAAGCTTCCAGTACCTTTTGCGCCAGTTTGGGGGGCTCCATTTTGGATTTGACAATCTTCAAAGCGACGGTAGAGCTGCCGAGGTGTTCGTGGCCCAGCAGCTTTGCGCGGTGGCAGATCGCGAAGCCGCCTTTGCCCAGCTGCGATCCCGTTTCATATTGGAGTCCCTCGGGGTCCTGCACCACGGCCGGCGGGGCATCTGCGTGTATCGACGAGGCAGACATTGGCGTCGAGGTAGATGGAGAGAGATGATGAAATCGGGGACGAAGTCGCAGAGTGTTGATGGCATGTAAACAAGGGCCCGTTAGCGTCGTTGCTAGGGCTGTCGGCCAATCGGTGCCCGGCACAGTCCGCTCGATGCACAGCGACTTGCACAAGCTTGCACTGGAGATCGTGCCTCACGATCCTGTACGAGTTCGACTTAGTCGTGTGAGCTGTCCATGCGTCTCGTCACGTCTCCCGAGTTGTCATGGAGCTGCTGGGCCCGCAGTCAATCGCCATCGCCGTCGGTGGATCTCCGGCAGCGCAAGGCAGCATCGATTTGAACATCGAACCTGCAGCCATGCGCACCACCACGAATAATCCTACACCACTTTGCTATACAGCTGTTCCGATGCGTCTATCTGTATGAAGCCTGCGATGCACAGCCGTCCGCCGGTCGATTGTCTTCATATCTCCCCGCGACCATCCGAAACGCTCTCGTAACCAGACATGTCTCTCACGCTCAAGGTCACATCACTGTTCGTCAGAACGCTTGCGAAGCCTGTAGCAGTATGTTGGTCAGCCCCGGGGATCTTCAGTCATAATTGACACATTCCAGAATGCCATCAAACGCAATGCCCACGAACACGACCGCTTTCGCCGGATATGCGTCAAATTTGCCCAAGGTTTGCATCGCGTCGACATGCGCATGCGCCTCGGCCTCCTCCAGGACCCGGCTGTTATCGACAGACAGATTAAGAAGGAAGTCCAATTAGCAGAGGCTGCGCGGAAAAAAGCAGCCGCCCCAACGGTTCTTACTGAAGAGGAGATGAAGGCGGAGGAGGCGCTCACGGAGAAGGAACGAGACGCTATCAAGAAGAAGACTGAAGAGAGAATCAAGCCTCGTATTCGACCTCTATCTGAACAAAAAGCCATCGAGATGGGCGCCAACTTCGCTGCCGAGACGTTTATATTCGCTGTTGGAATCGCTGTAATTCTTGTTGAGCAATGGCGACAAAGAAGGAAGGCACGCAATGCCAGAGACGATATAAGAGAAGACTTAGAGGAGGTGCAGGCTGAGCTCAAGGCAGTCAAGGCAGAATTTGAGGAGTTCAAGGCGAAGCACCCGAAGCCTGCTTCCTCAAAGGTACTAGGGTTCTTCACGGGCAGTGGAAAGAAGGAAGACAAGAAGCCTGAAGCCGTGAGCACCGAAGCGAAGCCAGCATCTGTCGAGGCTCAGCGCGATGCCACCCAAGCGACGAATGCTACATCCGCAACGCACGAGCAGTCGCCAGCCGATAAGCCCTCACAACATAAGGATCTAGGGATGTACACTCGGGAAGCGTAGATATGTACATCTTACGGGCATACATTCTCGAGGCTCGACTCATGGTAACACCATGTCGAAAGTACCATTTGGACACACTCCTCTCATATACCCAACACAATGATAGAAGCATGAAGTTTTCCATTCCCTACAGTGTCGCGATCCCAAAATCCTATGTTTCTAGCTTCGTGTCCTGATTTGACCTTCAGTTCACATCCGCTGGTTACTCTTTCCGTCGCGACCCACGCACCTTCTACAAGAAGAAGCTTAGCTCACAGGCACTGACCAGGGCCACATACAAAGAATACACTCCCTCGATATCTCAGAGACACACACTCAATCATTCTGACACCAGATCATCCCCAATTGCCTCGGAGACTCACATTCGCTTACTCTCGATATGGGTCTTGTGTGTCACACCAGCGATGCTGCGACTGCGCCTTGTCCCGATGAGAAGGCACAATCCATCATCCCAGGTGGAGAAAGGCGCCCCATGAACGTTGTCGCCCCTGCTCAATTAGACGGTGGAGCGGACTACTATTCGCGAGCAGTCAACGACAGGACCATCCACTCTCAGCAACGTCAACACCCCCAATTCCCGCGCCAAGCTCAGAATGCGCCTTCCGTCCCCCCACCACCGCCTCGCCAACCATCCCGCACCCTTGGCAATGTAGTCAACGACCTACTTCCTTACTGCACAACCGAGCCGCCTCTGAGCCAAGCGCAAGTCATTGCTCTAAGCGACGTTGTGGGTAGTCTAAAGGAACTCGTCGTACTGGCCCTAGGTGCTGCTGCTGGTGTGCCAGGGAGTATGGAGAAACTGGAAGGTGCGGTGGGTTCGCAGGCCGCAGTGAACATTGTGGAGTTCTTTGCCGACGAATGGGAGATCGAGGGCTGAGGAGACTCATGGATGTGGAGTGGGAAGTGAGGAGGTGGTTTGCTGCTGTATGGTGCATTATCATATGGGAGGTGATAAGGGGTCATGTGGATGCAATCATGAGGGAAATGTGAAGTGGTGATGGGAGATTGTATCATTCGCTACCAAGGAAAAAGTCCTGCGCTCGCTACCCAACCATCCACCACACCTATGAAGTACAAAAGACTTGCCCCTCCCGCCTCCTTGCTGCTCTGCACCTTGATCGACGATCGAGATGAAAGTCAAACGGCAATATCGACCGGTGATGATGAGAGAACGATGTCTTCGTGGCGTCGACGGTCTGTTCTGAGGTCAAAGAAAACGAAACAGAATAGCGGCGCCGACAGGTGATGACAAGAGGTCGATGTCTTCGCGACATCGACTAATGTTCTGAGGTTACAAAAAGAAAACGTTCAAACAGCACGTTCGACCGGTGATGACAAAGGAATCGATATCTTCGCGATGTCGAAACTCCGTTCTGAGGTCAAAGACACTGTTGTGCCCGGAAGAGGGCAGACTGAGTGTCGTGTTGTAATATTCCGTGCGCCGTTCAAAAAGGTCTGCCGTAGCAGATGAAGTAATGACGGGTGGATATCGTCGTTCTGGGAGAGAAAGCTCGACCGATCCGAAAAGCTCAGTGCAAGAGACGCGTGGGTTGATAGATCACCTACCTCAACTCTATCTTGACTCTGTTACGAGCGAACGGTATCACTCTCCAGGATCAGGGTAAATGTTCAGAATTGAGATGTTTGAGCAAGTAGCGCTTCGCGTTTCTGTGGCAAGAGCAAGAAGATTTCATGTTCCGAGAAGGTTGAAAGGCCCAGGCGCATGTGTTGAGTAATATTATGTATTACTATAACGACAAGGTATCATACATTAACCACTACACCCTCCATAAACACAATCATCCAAGCGATGGTATCAGAGCAGGCGCATATCAACGCTCCAGCCTCTCATGAATGACCTCAGAAACAAAGACGCAAAAGTACTGCGACGTTGCTGGGCAATCTACGAAGACCCGAAGCTGGTGATGTTAATCCCAATGTCAGCCAATGCCGGTCCAACATCGAGATTCAAGTTGATCGTGTTGCTCTTGATCGCATCTTCGTAGTAGGTCAAATGCTGACCATCTTTGATACTCGAGTTGCCCACAATCTCAAGCGGCAGCACAGCATCATTGTACTTGTTCTGGATCAGGCCCAAGATAGCGAGCTGGTCGACGTGGCTTTGCAGAGGGAACACATTGTCGCCGGGCTTGAGGTAAAGGTCTGGAATGAGTGCGTAGCCAATTGCGGTGCCGTCGACGGCTAGATTCATGGTGATGTTGCCTAGGTCGAGGGTCATGACAGAGGGGTTGGGAATGCTGACGTTGGCAATGAGGTTGGAGCCATCGGAAAGGATCTCGTCTGTGCCAGAGAGAATGCGCACGTCGCTGATGTTGAGTCCGGAGAGCTTGTTTAGTCCTGCAAACACAATTAGACTAGTCCTTACTGTAGCTTCAATGAGACCTACCCTTCATCGTAATGACTTTGTTGTAATCGACGTCCATGGTAGGCAGGCCAGAGAGGTGAATGTTGGTCTTGCCGTCAAGGTGAATTTGGAGTGTCTCGCTGTCAAGCACAGCCTTGGTATAACTGGAGAACTCGACATCACTCGCAAAAATGACATCTTGGTCGACGGTGACGCGGGTCTCTGCCTCAGACTTCGCTTCAGGTATGGTGATGTAGATGAAAGGGTCTTGTCCTGATAGCGATAGTCCTGCTTTGAAGCTATCAATCTTAGGGTGATAACTGCTGCCACTCCTGATGACTGTATCAATCTTGAGGTGGACACCGTTCTGCTGCGGGTTGGTAACTTCCTGGGCAGTAACTTCGAGTGTCGAGGAGTTGATCTCATGCTGTGCCTTATTTGGTATGCCAACAAATATGATTGGCAGAACGATGACCAACACTATGATCACAAGGACCAGGCAATCTGACGTAATGTAAACACGAAGTACGTTGAGGCTGTCGGGAGAGACTTACCACACCACCAAAACTTTCTGCAGTGGTTCTTCATACGCCCTTTGGCGCCTGGCGTGGGCCCTGGCGGGTAGAGCTTATTCATAACGCCGCCTTTCTTCTGGGGCGTTGTATACACATCGTCCGCCCGTGTCGCTCCGCCGTCTTTGCTCTCCATATTGACGGTCTTGTGTGAAGTGTAAAGAGGTTGTTGTGTACAGTTCGATCACTCTGTCGCCCACCGGTTGATGGCGATTCAGAGCGACTGTGGGTTCTTCAGGGGACAGACCCGCAGGGTGTCGCACGCGAATTAAGTAGAAACAAGAATATACACCAAGACTTCCAAGGACGGTATGAACGCGGAGGTACGCGGGGAACGCACACCTTGTGGATGTCAAAAGCTGGGGAATGTGTAGGAGACTGGCACATGCGCGAAAACGACCGAGACCCCTCTTACGCCAAATACCAATTGGCTGTGCACCGATGGCAAGGCGAATGTCGAAAAGGGTACGATCAGTGACAGGCCTCTTAGCGATTTTCATGAAGATGACGGGTTGCCCGAGAAAGTAGCCTGTTGCGGATACGCTCCGAAGCACTCACCACCTATCCGGTCGCATTATGAAGCCGAGGCAGCGCAGGCAATTGAAGGATCAACTGGCACATGCGTGAGGGATGTCTGAAGAATGCGGCCACATTTTGTAACCTAGGGCGCCGAAGAGCCGTGAGTGGATAGGTCTGCATGAAGCTCTAAGCTGCTCGGCAATGTCCGTCTATCTGGATTGGCTCGTCCTACTACAACCAGAGGCGAAAAGGCGTTGACTCGAGTGACACGCGATCATATTGAACAGCCCGAGCAGTGCGAGGGATCGTTGTTGACCCCAGACGGTAGCGCGGGTCCTGCACCTTTTGAGGTTAGAGGTGGAGAAACCCCCTGAAGCGGCAACCAATGTAAGCCAATGCTTGTCGGTGGTCGATCTGAATTCGGGAGACGCGCCTCTTTGTTGCAGTGAGGAAATAATCTAAAGCCGTCTAAATCAGCAGGTGAGCAGTGGCTTATTGCCTCAGGTAAGAGAATCACCAGCCCCCTCATTCACATGAAGGCGAAAAGCCGAAATCATGGGCTCAGCCGAATCAACCCCAACACCCAGCAAGGGGCTGCATCTCTGCATCTTGATATACACACTAGGACAAAGCATACAAGCAGATGGATCCGTCGCACTGAAAGTCGTCTAAATCAACATCGAGCAGGGGTTGCCTTGGCATCCGAAACACCCGCCATCTGCGGTTCATGTGGTGTCCAATTCGATTTGTGTGGCACTCAGGGCCGGCCCAGCCCTTTTCCCAAGGAACGTAGGTGGCGGAAGTCGTTGTTCGAGCCTCCCGGGTCTACGGTTGGAGACCAGATCGTTTGGAAGGCCTAATATGCACACAGGTCGTTTGGGAGGCCTAATGTGCACCCGCGATAGAATGCGCGATGCGTCACTGTAGCGCTGTTTGAGGGCCGATGGCATTTAACAGGCTGGGCGAGGAGATGTGGTCGAAAGAAGACTCTGGGGGATCGCCTGCCCTGACATATGCCAAGGGAACGCTACGAAGGTGGGTCGCTGCCGCTGCGGGCGGTCCTGCAAGTTGAGGCGCCCGAGTCGACAACACAAATTTTTAGAGCATTCACAACTCACTAGCACAAGATGGCGCAATCAGATGAGGAGGATGATTACATGAATATGGTGTTTGAGGATGCGCCAAAGGGACCAAAGTATGAGACTTCTCTCCAGCGCGCCGCGCGCAAGCGCAAAGAGGTGCGTTGAGTGGATTCGCCATATTTCGCCAGACTGACACATTGACAGGGCGAAGCCAAAGCGAGACAGAAGACCAAAGCCGAACGAGAGGAAGAGGCCGAAGCTGCACGAGAAGCTGCCCTCGCCACTGCTCTGCCTGAGACCAACAAGGGATTCAAGATGATGGCCAAATTTGGATTCAAGCAGGGTGATGCTCTGGGCAAGTCCGAAGACGCGCGCAAAGAGCCTATACGAGTCAACCCCAAAGACGACAGAGGAGGCATTGGTCTTGAGTCGGAAAAGAAGCGCAAGTTCAGGGAACAGTTCGAGGAAGCAGATCGACTGGCAAAGCGCGCAAAGGAAGAAGAGGGTGATTACCTAGAGATAATGCGCCAAGAACAGAAAGAGAAGAAGGCCGAACGAGATTTGGACAGCGCGCAGAGGACAGCCGAGCGCTTGTCGGACAAGAAGGCCGAAGAAAAAGGCGCGCCAGACACGAGCGAGAAACCACTGAAGGACATCAACGTCCTTTGGCGTGTTCGTGCGCGGCGCAGGGTGGAGAAGAACCGCGACAAGCAGCAACGACGAGAACTGAATAATAGCATTTCGTCGCGATTACCCACGCTAGCCCCTGAAGACGATGACGACGATTCGAAGATAGCACAAGGCCGAGACCTTGCGCCCTTCTATACTACACTTGAGAACGAGCTCGAGGATGAAGATCCAGAGCTGGCAGAGTTTGAGGCCTTGCCCGTGGCAGAGCGGTTACAGAAGCTTCTGGTATTCCTTCGCGAAGAGTACCATTACTGTCTGTACTGCGGATACGAATACCCTGATGCCGAAATGGAAGGATGTCCAGGAGTGACTGAGGAGGAGCACGATTGAGAGACCTAATCTTCACTACATGAAGATGTCTCGATAATACAAGCTACGAGCTCGAATTCTGCTATGCTCTTAGCCTGCAATAGGTGAGATCACGGCTGGACACATGAGACCGGCGTAACGTTCGGCTCGTGCAACATTGTCTGGCTTTGCAGCTCTGGGTCGCGGTCACAACATGGCAACGGTCTCGAAAAGTCATAGTCGCTGGTGAGAATCTAGTGAATCAAGGAGTCCAGTTTCTTCCGGCTCCAAGATGTTTATCGACGACCATTCGAAGGTGAGGTAGCTTCAAAGTACTTTCTACACTTCCAATAGCTATCGA